CCTATTAACATAAAATGTTATTCGGCAAACATATGTTCTCAGTATTTCATAAGCAGGCCAGTGCAATTGCAGAGATAATGAAAATCTTACAGTTGAATGGTGTTTATTAGTGTCATCTTTTTACATCTCGTCGTTCTCACGCCCTCCACATGGCGAACGCGGCGCGCGGAGGTACTTGCCCTGGGGGATCGGGGGAGGGGTCGGAAATGAGGATATGTTGTGAGCATTGGTCATAGGTCAGGTACGGAGTGAACGACGGTCACTAGGAGGTGGCGGCGATATGCGATCGCTGCCTGGCGTCGGCTTCGACCACGGAAGTGAAAGTGCTTATGTTAGCGTCTTCTGACAGCACAGCACTAGATTCGCCAGCCGTATAACCTTTGCCCCGATTGTTGCCAGCACCCGTTGACGTAAGTCCTTGGAGAATTTGGCTGGTATCCGACTGACAACTTCGGACGCTTCATTAGTGTCGACTCTGTGATTTTTATCGACAAGATGTGCAAGAATTTAACTCAAGATGGACCTAGTTTCACCTTCACTTAACCAGGCCGGTATGTGCTCATGTACCCTCGTTTTTCGGCTAATGCATCCTGCCCACAGGTCCAAGTGAAAGATTAAATGCACATGGATGTGGCCTTCAACGGGAGTCGGTCGCTACCTCCCAATCCTAAGAAGGGAGGGTTCGTGAAGAACACGCGCGAGTTATCATAAACTATGTGAATAGTCAATATGGCTGGGCCTTTGGCCAGCGATACTGTCGGAGGCAAACGGTCCATTGTGCTTCAAAATGTTCTCTTTTCTCTCATCACCGTTCTACTTACAGCCAAGTTCGAGGAGGCTGGGGTCTGATTCAGTTTCGGGAGCAGTCATCGATCAGTTGTCGTGACCCTGACTGTGGACCCTTGAACTCGCCGGAGTGTTGCCTCTTAATGGAAAAATGGTCATCGTTATTAGTACGAAGTCTGAAAGTGTTTGTGGTAGTACGGGGAGCGTTCGCTGCTAGAGCCCAAAGTGGTCACTAATGGGGTTGCATGAAAAGTTGTATGTTTCTATTCGAAGGCCCAAGTCTCTTATTGCAACCAAGGGATCACTCTAAATAGGTTTTTCAACCAGTTCCTGCAACTACCAGTGAACTGTTACTTTAAGTTGCTGATGTTTATATAGCCAGTAATCCATAAAAAGCCTGACATTTGGTAAAAGGAGGTGAGTACTTCGGTCGTGTTCTAAACTCAACTTTAGGCTATGTATTTACTGAGGACCTAACTGAATTTCGTACGACTGTTTCGATCCAAGAATTTATTCACGTCACACATTCACTATTTTCCATCGTCTTAGCGCATAGTAGCTTGATAGGTAGGGTTTCAGCCGACGGAATTGCTGCAAAGCATATTCGTGTAGCCGGGCGGTTGACCCTAGTTTTTATTGATCGACCACTGCTCGGGGTTTGTATTCTTGTGGATGCATTTGCATTGAGCACAGATTAATTGATGACTGTTCGCTAGCTTAAACCTATTTCATTTGTTAGGTTGGTTGGTTGGTAGCCCATGTTGGATCAGGGGTTCCCGCCGGAGTC